TGAAAAATTTTAAAAACTTTCAATTTTTGACAAGGTAGGGGGTCGTGCAAAATTTTAAAAAATTTTCAATTTTTTGACAAGGTAAGGGGTCGTGCAAAATTTTAAAAAATTTTTAATTTTTTGACAAGGTAGGGGGTCGTGCAAAATTTTAAAAGTTTTCAATTTTTTGACAAGGTAGGGAGGGGGTCGTGCAAAATTTTAAAAGTTTTCAATTTTTTGACAAGGTAGGGGGTCGTGCAAAATTTTAAAAAATTTTTAATTTTTTGACAAGGTAGGGGGTCGTGCAAAATTTTATTATAAAAATTTTCAATTTTTTGACAAGGTAGGGGGTCGTGAAAAATTTTAAAAACTTTCAATTTTTGACAAGGTAGGGGGTCGTGCAAAATTTTAAAAAATTTTCAATTTTTTGACAAGGTAGGGGGTCGTGAAAAATTTTAAAAACTTTCAATTTTTGACAAGGTAGGGGGTCGTGCAAAATTTTAAATGTTTTCAATTTTTTGACAAGGTAAGGGGTCGTGCAAAATTTTAAAAAATTTTTAATTTTTTGACGAGGTAGGGGGTCGGCCAAAATTTTTAAAAATTTTCAATTTTTTGCCAAGGTAGGGGGTCGTGAAAAATTTTAAAAACTTTCAATTTTTGACAAGGTAGGGGGTCGTGCAAAATTTTAAATGTTTTCAATTTTTTGACAAGGTAAGGGGTCGTGCAAAATTTTAAAAAATTTTTAATTTTTTGACAAGGTAGGGGGTCGTGCAAAATTTTAAAAGTTTTCAATTTTTTGACAAGGTAGGGAGGGGGTCGTGCAAAATTTTAAAAGTTTTCAATTTTTTAACAAGGTAGGGGGTCGGCCAAAATTTTTAAAAATTTTCAATTTTTTGCCAAGGTAGGGGGTCGTGAAAAATTTTAAAAACTTTCAATTTTTGACAAGGTAGGGGGTCGTGCAAAATTTTAAATGTTTTCAATTTTTTGACAAGGTAAGGGGTCGTGCAAAATTTTAAAAAATTTTTAATTTTTTGACAAGGTAGGGGGTCGTGCAAAATTTTAAAAGTTTTCAATTTTTTGACAAGGTAGGGAGGGGGTCGTGCAAAATTTTAAAAGTTTTCAATTTTTTGACAAGGTAGGGGGTCGTGCAAAATTTTAAAAAATTTTTAATTTTTTGACAAGGTAGGGGGTCGTGCAAAATTTTATTATAAAAATTTTCAATTTTTTAACAAGGTAGGGGGTCGGCCAAAATTTTTAAAAATTTACAATTTTTTGACAAGGTAGGGGGTTGTGCAAAATTTTTAAAAATTTTCAATTTTTTGACAAGGTAGGGGGTCGTGCAAAATTTTAAAAATTTTCAATTTTTTGACAAGGTAGGGCGTCGTGCAAAATTTTAAAAAATTTTCAATTTTTTGACAAGGTAGGGGGTTGTGCAAAATTTTTAAAAATTTTCAATTTTTTGACAAGGTAGGGAGTCGGGCAAAATTTTTAAAAATTTTCAATTTTTTGCCAAGGTAGGGGGTCGTGCAAAATTTTAAAAAATTTTCAATTTTTTGACAAGGTAGGGGGTCGTGCAAAATTTTAAAAATTTTCAATTTTTTGACAAGGTAGGGAGTCGGGCAAAATTTTTATAAAATTTTCAATTTTTTGCAAAGGTAGGGGGTCGTGCAAAATTTTAAAGATTTACAATTTGTTGCCAGGTAGGGGGTCGTGCAAAATTTTAAAAAATTTACAATTTTTTGACAAGGTTGGGCAAGGGGGTCGGGCAAAATTTTTAAAAATTTTCAATTTTTTGCAAAGGTAGGGGGTCGTGCAAAATTTTAAAGATTTACAATTTTTTGCCAGGTAGGGGGTCGTGCAAAATTTTAAAAAATTTACAATTTTTTGACAAGGTAGGGCAAGGGGGTCGGGCAAAATTTTTAAAAATTTTCAATTTTTTGCCAAGGTAGGGGGTCGTGCAAAATTTTAAAAAATTTTTAATTTTTTGACTAGGTAGGGGGTCGTGCATTATTTTAAAAAATTTTCAATTTTTTGACAAGGTAGGGGGTCGTGAAAAATTTTAAAAACTTTCAATTTTTGCCAAGGTAGGGGGTCGTGCAAAATTTTAAAAAATTTTTAATTTTTTGACGAGGTAGGGAGTCGGGCAAAATTTTTATAAAATTTTCAATTTTTTGCAAAGGTAGGGGGTCGTGCAAAATTTTAAAGATTTACAATTTGTTGCCAGGTAGGGGGTCGTGCAAAATTTTAAAAAATTTACAATTTTTTGACAAGGTTGGGCAAGGGGGTCGGGCAAAATTTTTAAAAATTTTCAATTTTTTGCAAAGGTAGGGGGTCGTGCAAAATTTTAAAGATTTACAATTTTTTGCCAGGTAGGGGGTCGTGCAAAATTTTAAAAAATTTACAATTTTTTGACAAGGTAGGGCAAGGGGGTCGGGCAAAATTTTTAAAAATTTTCAATTTTTTGCCAAGGTAGGGGGTCGTGCAAAATTTTAAAAAATTTTTAATTTTTTGACTAGGTAGGGGGTCGTGCATTATTTTAAAAAATTTTCAATTTTTTGACAAGGTAGGGGGTCGTGAAAAATTTTAAAAACTTTCAATTTTTGACAAGGTAGGGGGTCGTGCAAAATTTTAAATGTTTTCAATTTTTTGACAAGGTAAGGGGTCGTGCAAAATTTTAAAAAATTTTTAATTTTTTGACGAGGTAGGGGGTCGTGCATTATTTTAAAAAATTTTCAATTTTTTGACAAGGTAGGGGGTCGTGAAAAATTTTAAAAACTTTCAATTTTTGACAAGGTAGGGGGTCGTGCAAAATTTTAAAAAATTTTCAATTTTTTGACAAGGTAAGGGGTCGTGCAAAATTTTAAAAAATTTTTAATTTTTTGACAAGGTAGGGGGTCGTGCAAAATTTTAAAAGTTTTCAATTTTTTGACAAGGTAGGGAGGGGGTCGTGCAAAATTTTAAAAGTTTTCAATTTTTTGACAAGGTAGGGGGTCGTGCAAAATTTTAAAAAATTTTTAATTTTTTGACAAGGTAGGGGGTCGTGCAAAATTTTATTATAAAAATTTTCAATTTTTTGACAAGGTAGGGGGTCGTGAAAAATTTTAAAAACTTTCAATTTTTGACAAGGTAGGGGGTCGTGCAAAATTTTAAAAAATTTTCAATTTTTTGACAAGGTAGGGGGTCGTGAAAAATTTTAAAAACTTTCAATTTTTGACAAGGTAGGGGGTCGTGCAAAATTTTAAATGTTTTCAATTTTTTGACAAGGTAAGGGGTCGTGCAAAATTTTAAAAAATTTTTAATTTTTTGACGAGGTAGGGGGTCGGCCAAAATTTTTAAAAATTTTCAATTTTTTGCCAAGGTAGGGGGTCGTGAAAAATTTTAAAAACTTTCAATTTTTGACAAGGTAGGGGGTCGTGCAAAATTTTAAATGTTTTCAATTTTTTGACAAGGTAAGGGGTCGTGCAAAATTTTAAAAAATTTTTAATTTTTTGACAAGGTAGGGGGTCGTGCAAAATTTTAAAAGTTTTCAATTTTTTGACAAGGTAGGGAGGGGGTCGTGCAAAATTTTAAAAGTTTTCAATTTTTTAACAAGGTAGGGGGTCGGCCAAAATTTTTAAAAATTTTCAATTTTTTGCCAAGGTAGGGGGTCGTGAAAAATTTTAAAAACTTTCAATTTTTGACAAGGTAGGGGGTCGTGCAAAATTTTAAATGTTTTCAATTTTTTGACAAGGTAAGGGGTCGTGCAAAATTTTAAAAAATTTTTAATTTTTTGACAAGGTAGGGGGTCGTGCAAAATTTTAAAAGTTTTCAATTTTTTGACAAGGTAGGGAGGGGGTCGTGCAAAATTTTAAAAGTTTTCAATTTTTTGACAAGGTAGGGGGTCGTGCAAAATTTTAAAAAATTTTTAATTTTTTGACAAGGTAGGGGGTCGTGCAAAATTTTATTATAAAAATTTTCAATTTTTTAACAAGGTAGGGGGTCGGCCAAAATTTTTAAAAATTTTCAATTTTTTGCCAAGGTAGGGGGTCGTGCAAAATTTTAAAAAATTTTCAATTTTTTGACAAGGTAGGGGGTCGTGCACAATTTTAAAAAATTTTCAATTTTTTGACAAGGTAGGGGATCGTGCAAAATTTTAAAAAATTTTCAATTTTTTGACAAGGTAGGGGGTCGTGCAAAATTTTAAAAAATTTTCAATTTCAAAATCGTGCAACAATAAAAAAAAATTATATTCATTTAAAATACAATTATTTTTTCAGGAAAATATTTTATTTTCAAAACCATTTGTTTGGTTCAAATTTGTTTTATAATTTCATTAGTTTCCGCGTGAAATAGGGTGCGTCCTAGAGTGTATTTGAAAGAAATTAGAGCCAAAAAAATACAAAAAAAACACAAAACCATTTTGAATTTTGAAGAATTTTAATTTGAATTGTTTTTTTTTTTTTTATTGTCATTTTTCACATTTTACATAAAACATTTACATATACATACATAATATTTTTTATTAATTGCTTTTTTGTTTTTTTTTTTTAATTTAAATTTTATATAATAATTTTATAATTAATAAGAATTTTTTTCTCTTTTCGAATTTTTTCGAATTTAAATTTTTTTTAAATTTTTTTAAAATTTTGACACAGCTCATAACAATTTTTGTATATATATATATATATATTTGGTTTTACAAGTTTCCATGAATTTTATTTAATTTAAATTTTTTCTATAATTAATTTTTCTATATTTAATTTTAATATTATATAATTACATTAATTAAAGTTAGAATTTCTTTTTTTTGTATTATTTTTGTATATAGGCAATTGGAAATTTTATAATTGAATTCTGTTACAATTTTTCTTTGTCTTTTGTCATTTTATTATTTAAATTAATAGTTTTTTAATTTAAATAAAAAAAGAAATTAAATTTTATTTTGTAAATTTTAATTAAATGACGAATTTGTGTAATTATCATTATTAAACCTAGAAAATTTTAATTATAATTTTTGTCTTTTTTAATTTTTTTACTTAATTTTGAGCAATATAATAATTGTTATATTAAAATGTAAAATGTTCTTTTTTAATTAATAATTTATTTAAATTAATTATAAATTTTATGCTAAATGAAAACAAAAAATTTAATTTTTAATTATCATATTAAAAATATATACTAGTAATTATTATAGAAATAATAATTAAAATAAAATGTAATTTAAATTGTTTGGCACCATTGCAATTATCTTTATCATTACATGTACTACAATCAACAATTTCCAATGGTTCATGACTAAATTGACTTTTTTCCCATGCTTTCCCAGTAACCATTTGACAAAAATCATCACTTTTTATTTGACACGAACGATGAATCATTTGACGTCCGCCTCCTGTTCATAAAATATTAAAAAAAATTTATAATAAGAAAAGAGAAAGAAGAGTATGTATTTACTTTTGAATTCATTCATAAAATAATTTATAATAAGCATATAATATTTAAATATACACATATAAACCTATTAAACAATCATAAAATTAGTATACATACATATATGTGTATATAAAAATTAAAGTTATAACATAATAAAATTAATTAACAAACCATCTGACGATATAATTTTAACACATGCAAAATTTAAAACATCTTGGGTCAAATTTTCATCATTTATTCCTTCTTGTATTAGATATCTAGTATCGAGTCTTACATGACTTAATTCACCTAATAATGTATTTGGTGGATCATTTATTGATTCCCATGTACATGTCTATGTAATACAAATGAAAATTATTTTAATTATTTTACAATATTATTAAAATAAAGATAAGGACAATGAACAAATTATGATTGGGATTATCTTACCTGTGGTTTCATTTTAGATTCTTTATTAATTTTGGCACATGTTGAATTTAATTCTGAATCACAAACGTAACATTTCAGTGTATAACCTTTAATATTATAAAAAAAAATAATTGAAAATAAAAATAAAGAGAAATTATTATTCAACATTTTAAATATGAAAGCAGAAATTTGATAAAATGCAGGGCTGAGAATTTTAATCACCCAACTCATATTTTTATTTTATTCTAAAAATTTAATTTATAGAGAACATTGATTTAAAGAAAAAAAATTAAAAGAGTGGAGGAGAAGATGAGAAGGTACGGAGCAAATTTAAATTGGGAAAAAAAATATTTAATTAATTACCAAATTTAAGTAACAAATTCACCACTGAGTTGAGTTTTTTTTCAGCTGAGTTGAATTTTTAACAATATATGCAAATATTATCATAGAATAAACGGTTCAATTGGAGTAATAAACATAATTGGTACTAAATTTGTTTCAATTATTAAAGAAGCCCAAATAAGAATATCAGGTACCAAAAAAGGAGTTTAAAAGAGGTTTAAAAATTCATTGATGATTCAAAATTATAATAAGGAGAGAGTCAATAAGTCAACAAGGTAAAATTATAGCAAAATCTGCTTCTGATAATCGAGTCAGTCTCTGCCAAGTCCCGACTTTTCAAATATAATGTATAACCTCTGTTTGATTTAAATAGTGTTTACTGTAGTTTTGTGTTACATATAGTCTTAAATAGAAACTTTTATTAGAAATTGCAATACAACAAATATATAGTACATTGAGCGTTTAATCTTGACCGTAAAATCTTGAGCTTATTAAAATCGTAGATTATTTTTATGAATAATGTCTGGGTATAAAAGGGTTAATAATTTTTAAAATAAATTTAAATTTTGATTGACTGGACAAATTTAGCTATTTTTCTAAGCTTCATGTAGCGCCCTTGTTTTGCTGTGTCCATCACAAATGTTTACTTTGCATATATAGTAGATCCGGTGTACTATAACTAGTGAACACATAACAACTTTATTTTGTATGTATAAATGTATATATATGAAATTACTGTTTATGTTGAAATTCTTGTTTGATTCTTAAAACATTTATTATAGTTTTTTTTTTTCTCGCAATATTAATTGCGTATAATGATCCATAAATTTAAATTTATTCATTTCTTTTATATACTCAATTAAATATTAGTTAAGATCTTGACCTAATTTGTATATAATACTTATACTGATACATTATTATTATATTTATACACACATTATTATTGTATGTATGTATTTAGAGATTTAGAGAAAAAATAACCAATTGTTTTTGGCAAACAAAATTACTAGGTCAAATAGTTTGTAAATATTTTCAATTCAATAATATTTTGTAACAATAACGATTTTTAACTTCGATTGTATTGTAGCATACTAACATACACACATATACATACATACATAAACAATATTTTATGACATTTCAACACGAAAGATAAACGAAAACGAACGAAATTTTATAATAAATTTAAAAAAAAACAAAAAAAAAATTTTTTTTTTTTAAATTGAGTACAAGAGAGAAAGAGCAAATCGTTACACAAGTGATTCTCAAATTTTTTTTTCAGATTTCTTCACAATTCATTCAATTTTTTCAAAAATATGATGGCATCTTTCTAAAAATAATATCTAAAATTAAATTGAAATTTGGACTAATGAATGCGTCGTAAAAGTTTTATTCAAAAATTTGACAAGAATCAACGCGTTGCACGTGATGAAAATATGACAATTAAAATGAGGTGTGTGTCAAAATAAATTTATTTTGCTTTTCAATTTCAAAAGCTTTCTGAAATTTTGAACAAATTGTAAATTAATTAATCAAAAATATAAAAAATGCGCATCGATTATTTACACGGCGTCTTCTATTTAAAACAATCACATGGCGTCCAGTTTTTGAGACAATATTGAGTACGCTAATAAAACATATACGAGTATTTAAATTAAATCGATGACGTTTGAAATTGAATTTTCCATTTCATATTGCATTTAAATTTTAATATTTTTTAAAATTAAAATAAATAAATTATAAAAAATCGAAATAATTTTGTGTAAATTTTTTTATGACGTCTACATAACACTATCAAATTTTGAATGACATTAATAAATGATATTAATTTATGTTAAGGTATTACACACATACACTCAAAAAATTGAATTAAAGTCACTATGTAAGTAAAATATTATTTTTCTATTTTATTCGAATTCCTTTTTATTGTCATATTACAAGTTTACTTAGTTGTCACACTCATTTTATTAGTTTACAAAATAAATTTTTCATTTTTATTATTTTATTCACTCTAAATTTAAATTGACATTGAAATTAATCGCAATTTATATTAATTTACTTAATTATGAAATAAAAAAAATTAATTGTGAATTTATTAATTTAAAATTGTGTTTAATAATTAAATAAAAAAAAATAACAATTTTACACATTTTAATTTTTACTATAGTTTTTTCTCTTTTACGGTCTCTTTTGTTTCCTTCGTACTTATTACACGAAAATTTATTATACTATCACATACACACATACACACAAATAAGTCATTAATTCATAAACAATTAAAAATATATATGTACAAAATTTGTTAAGTATTATTTAAAATTTCTATGTATAAATATGAGAGCTATTACAAATAGTATTCTTGTATTAATCTATATTAATTTAACAATTGATCCTTAAATTAAGGATCTTTTAAATATTTGATTACATAAACAGAAACCAGAAGATGAAATTTGAATACAATGGTGAATTTGATTGCGTAACAAAATTTTTCTTATATTGAAATCTTAAATGACTTGCTAAAATGAAATTTTTTTCATACTTATGAAAAATACAAAAAAAAAAAAAACATTGACCTGTCGCCATTTTTAAAAAAAAAAATTATTTTATTGTTATTTTTTTTTCTTTTGGATTATAAAATATTTTTGGTTTTATTTCTTGTTTTATTCATTCTATTTTAATTCTAAGAATAAAATTAAGTAATTTAGAAAAAAAATTGCATATTTCTAGGCAAAAACTAACCCATTCTTATTAAAAGCGTTAATATAATTAGACGAGAAATTAACGATTCATTAATAAAACGTCTCCAATCCATTTTGTTTTTCTCTTTTCTCTCTTTGTAAATTTAGTATTGTTTTTTTTTTGCAATATTTTAAATTTTCTTTTTATTTAATTATTTCAAAAAATTAATAGTAAATTTTATTTAAATATAAAAACACAAAATTTGAAAATTTAAATGCGTACACTTCGAAAAATATATATAAAAAAAAAATTGAATGTATTCACAACGACAGTTCCCTTATAACTATTTCATTCAACTTTCAATATAGTCAGCAACAAAAAAAAAAATGAAAAAAAAATAAAAATTAAATAAGTATAGAAGAAATCAAAAGGACATTCAAATACATTGAAATGTTTTTGTATGTATGTATATAACAATATAGAAATTAGTGTAGATTTTTGAAGCAAATGATTTCAAGGATTCTATTTGGAGTAAAACTTCATTGTATACACATACATACGCACACATTTACTTTAATATTGAAATAATATTAACCTCTAAATTAAAAATCAAAGGAAAAAAAAATAATTATAACAACTTCATAATCGTTGTATACCAGTTATAAATTTGTATAAAAGATATTTTTCAAAAATTTATAACAAATACATAAAAATATTTATATACACATATACATAATGTACACGAATTTATAAAAGAAATTATAAGATGATGAATTTTATTGCTAGACAATTTCTTGTTGTCTGGAGCCAGAACACAAAAACATCAGCATAGCATAGCAACATAAAAATATTAGAAACATTTTCTTATTAGTGTTTTTTCTTCTCTTCTCTTTTATTCTCTATTTATATATTTTATATATTATACTCTTTCCCATATATATATATATATATTGTTATATAAACAAATACATATACATATGTAATTAATTTATAAGATGAAACTTTCGAAAAGGATCATTTTCTGTTATATTTATTTTCGATTTTAGAAATTTTTAAAGTGTTTTAAATTGTTATATATGTATGTGTGTAGTATATGAATAATTTTCTTTTTAATTTTTGAGTATTCTAAAATTATATGACATTGAGATTTTGTTTTTCTTTATAAGAAAAGAGATTATGTAAAGATCTAAATATTTTCGAGTTAAGAACGTACAAGTGTTTATTATATGTGTGTATTATATAAGTATTTTATTTATGAATGTGTTTTTTGAATATATTTTTATTATATTATAATACGATAAGAAGAATAAAGTTGAAATGCTCATATCGTAAAAAAAATTGAATACTTTTTCCTATATATGATAAGAAGAATAAACTTAAAATTCTAATATCGTAAAAAAATATTCGTAATATCGTAAAAAAATTATTTGATTCAAATAAATCTTTAATTATTAGTAGTTATTTTTATTTTAATTTAGTTATTTAATGTTATATTTTGTTGCCCGGCAGTGCCATAAACTTGCATATTGATTAATAGATTATTTGAACATTATACAAGGTGTTTCGCATAACTTGGCAGGGTGGCATAATTTCTAAGATGATTCTTTGATCAATTTCCATCAAAAAATTGTAAGATTAAAGGGGAGGGGGTGCAGATATACTCGTTTTCGAGTTACAGCCTGTTGAAAAAAAAGAAGATACCGGACTTTTCCTGCATATAAATAAGTGCTCATAACTTCGGAACCATACGACTTAGAGTTATCATTTGGGAGCTTGTTTTACAGGCAATTGATTGTTCTTTATTTTCGATCTTACAATTAATTTTATTTGAACCATAGTTTTATATACACCCTGTATAAAACATTATATGAATGATATTCAATATTCAAAGAAATATTCACACAGATTATATTTTGAAAATAATATAATATTTTTTGTAAATAAAAGAAATTCGATGGAGGCACAGTATTTGACTATGCTATAGAAAGAGCACTACTATACTTTCATAGAAATTGATTTACCATTTCGTTTTCAGTTCTGTATTTGAACAGGCTCCATATAAGATTTCAATTTGATATGTATACTTGCCCCCACACAGTGAGAAGGTAAAATAAACACTTTGTTTCCGGGAAACCACTATTATGCTTAAAATCATGAAATAACGATAAATTTATTTATATGGCTCGATTGGGAAAACAAAATCTTTCGATTATTTGTTTGATCTTAAAAATATCATAAAAGTTACAAGTCATTGGATCTTTCTCAAAATTTTATGAAATTTCATTTTTAAAAGTAATTTGCAACCCTTATAGAGTGTCCATTCCCAAAAGTGTTTTTTTAAAAAATTTATTTTCTATTCCAATATTTCAATTCAACACAAGAAAAATTCGTTGTTTATCAACAAATTAATTTTATTTCTAATATTTTTTCTTACAGTATAACAACATTGTTTTTTAGCTTATAAAACTTATGAATCAAAGTCTATATATCTATAATTTATAGAAAAATTATGGGCATTCACACATTACGTTCAAAATATTATTGCATATATATATGTATAATGTCTGTATATTTGTCATTCATATTTTGTATTAGTCACCTTCTTAACTTTCGATTTCCACCTTAGTTCAGTGATATTAAATATATATATATTATGACTGTGAAGTATGTATGCTTACATATTGAAGTGTTCGAGTAAACAATGTAAAACATTCTTCATTTCATTCTACATATATATACTACAATCAATATTGTTATACTACAATACTACCTATTAGAATCATTTTGTGCTCATATTTTTTATGAGGTTTTATACTTTAATGAGTTATAAGACCTGTTTATATAAATAAGACATTCCCTCGCCTCATTGAATATCCTTTTTTGTTTTTTGGTTTTCTATAATGCATTCATCGTTCTAGTTTATGAAAGAAAATTTGGAAAAATAAAATAAGAAAAGAATAAACAAAAAGTCATCAAGGCGATGTGTTTTCTTTCACACAATATAAAAAAAAAAAATTTAGTCTTTGTTTTGTGTGCCTTAAAAGAAGGAAGGAATAAAAATGTAAAATAGCCTCTTGACCTAAATATTAAAATTTATTTTATACTTATATCGTCATCATTTAAAGTATATTTTTACATATTAAATGTTTGTACATATAGAGAGAGAGAGAGTCTATAAATTGTGTTAATTATAAAAATAAAATTTAATATTAAAAAAGTATTGTGGTGTTTGTGTGTATTTCAGTTTTGAAATTAAAAAAATTTAATATTCATGCTCAATATACACTCGATAGCATTGCTAATAATATTAAAAACAGAAAAGTTTTTGTACTGTTTATGATGGTTGACTTACAAATTAATATGGAAAAGTGTAAATGAGACTGTGAACGTAATAAAAACGAATATTTCCGTTGAACGTGAAAAAAAATGCTTTAATAGGAAATAATAATAAAGATTGGTTAGGGTTTTTTGTACAAATAAAATAGAAAAAGTAATGTAGAAATTCAAGGCTTTTAAATTTATGTTTAATAACACATAAGGAACTGGACATTTATGTGAAAATCCTGAGACAATCCCATATTTCTATTTAAAATTTCAAACATAATCAAAAATAAAATAATCATGTTTCCGTTATAAATGAAATGAAATAGAAATTGAAAAACATTCTCGTAATTTTAAATGTTTGAATTTTTTAATTTAAACAAATAAATATTTGGATCAAATGTTTTTTAATTAAGAAATTATTTGTAAGCTCTCATTTATTTTATATTTTGAAGAGTAAAGATATGGTAAAAGGTTGCTGTATTGTGCGGTATTCCTGATGAATTCAATAAAGACTTTAGGGAACTGCTAGAAAATAGGCGGTGCTTTAATAGGCTTATAATGCAGCGAGCGCAGGAATAAACGTTTTGGGTCAATGTAGCCCTTTCGATATATATAATATGTCTATTCCGAAAGGGGTTGATGGATGGCTCCAGTGGTCTAGATGGATGACTTGATTGTCGCCTGCAGGATCATAGTATGGGACTACAACGTAAAAACAATTGACAATTCGATTTCTTATCTTCTGCAGCAAAATTTATAAGTTGCAGCTGGATGATGTAAAATCGTGTGCCTAAATGTAAATCTCAGTAAGACCAGCTTGAGTGCCTTCATATGACGTAAAAATAGAAAACAATTGACAAGAGAAAGTCTTGCCCTCATGACAAGACTGGCATTAGTTCTAGGATAGCACTATTGCTATATACGGCCATGGCGTGTTGCGAGGTGCCGCAAGGTGTAACATGTAAGTGTAATTACTGAACTTGTAAAGCGTCCGATACTGAGTTGTTTTGGAAGTTATAGGGGCGATACCGGCGACTGCCATGGCTTCTTTGATGGCATTCTTTGCCCTGCTGCCGCTACACCTATACATAGCGACTGAAACCTGGCTCAAATCTTTCCAACTTCTAACTGGCAATAATGTCGTATGGAAAAGCTCTGTGTTCTTGTACTAGATGAATTGGCATCCACAAACAATATACGTATATAGTGGTAACGAAGAAAGCGATGATTTTACGCAGAAATGGTCCGAGATTCCATTTGTTCAGTCATCTCCTTCTTTTTCTCTTCGTATCACTTTCCTTTTACAATTAACTCCGAAATGAAACTAGTAACGAATATTGCACAGAGTTTCATCTTCCTCCAAAATTGATTCCAAAGTTTTTGAGGATGAATTGTATAGGTAATAATGTAATTCCTTTTCTAAACCAAATTAAAAATCAAATTTATCACAAAACCTTAATATTCATACGGTTTGTTACCTCTAGTATAACCTCAAAATACCTGATGTCACTGTTTTCGCAAGACCAAATTAAATCAAAATGAACTTTAAATGTTTTTATGTATGTATGTATATATAAAGTAAATAAATTAAACAGATGACATCATCAAAATAACACGAGAAAATTCTAAGAACATATTTGCTAGCATTTTCAAATATTAAACAAAAATTTCTATGATAAAAATGATTTTTAAAAAAAATATTTGAATAGACAACGGAGGAAGGAGAGAAACGATTTTTATTACAGTAACAAAAAAAGGGAAACTTATTGAATCCGATTTCAATAGATGAATAATATTTTTGTCCTTGAAATAGAAATGTCCTTATAGCGTATACACAGAAGAGATCTCAATTATTAAGAATAAATTGAATAAATTTTTTTTTTTTTATTTAACATTTAGAGTGCAAAATCAATTTCTGGGATTAAATTTAAGAATAAAATTTATAATAATTTTATATTTAAAGCCATTAATTTATTATTGATAATAAAATTTAAT